CCCATTTGCCCTCCCCTCACAACCCTCAGGAGAGCCCTGATGGCGCCTCCCACTCCCCCTCCTCTGCTGACCCACAGAACTGCCGGCCACTTTGCTGGGGCGGAAGGTGGAACAAAGGGAGCCAAGGACCGTGAGGAAAACTGCAGCCCCGCTCCCCTTTCCGGCGTGTCCCCAAGGGCCCCTCCCTCGGGAGAGGAAGGGGGTTCACCCTTTGACCACGGGCATCGCCCCAGATAGCCCTCCCTCACCAGCAGGAATCCAAGTCGCTCCCTCGTCCTTCCCTCACTGTCAACTGCCATTAAGAGATTTCAAATTTCTGGCTCGGTTCCAAAGCAGCTAATTGCCACTCGCCCGTTGGGCCTTGCTGCCAGCCAATTGGGTGCAGGGGACAGAGGAAGGCGCAGCAGCAGAACAGCAGTGCTGAAACAGCCACAAATTTCTCAAATTTCAATCCCACAGGAGCAATGGGTCCCAGATTTTGGATGCATTCTGTAAGTTAGTCCATTTGAGGTACCTTGGTTAAAAAATTGTTACTCTATGACACACCGTTTTTCCGAGTTGAAAGTTACAGACACGAGAGTTTTAGTAGTATATAGATAGATAAAGATATAGATATATAGGTAGTCCTTGCTTAGCAATTGCACTTGGGACCAGAAATTCAGTCGCTAAGCACTGTGGTTGCTAAGCGGAAAATCACATGACCGTGACAAAGTTACGATGTCACTTCCCCTTCAGTCATTAAGGAAGCAGCATGATTGCTGTCAAAAATCACATGATCACGACTTACTATTTTCCTGCCATGTTCTCCATGGACTGCTTGTCCCAAGCCAGTTGTGAAGCGCACGAGTAGCAATTGTGTGACCACAGGATGCGGCAATGGTCCTAAATGCGAGAATTGGTCGCAGAGCTGTTTTTTTCCCACGGTTGTAAGTTCAAATGGTTACTACCGCTGGGCCTGGGGGTCTGGCAACGGTGGGGAGCTCTTACAGGGGCTGCACTGTACTGATGTAGGGTGAATTATGCAGTTGATTGTGATTTTGTTTTTAAATTGATGATGGATAGTTTTTATACATTTGTATATTGGTTTTTATGGTTTTCTTAAATTGTTTTTACCTGTTGAGAGCTTCCCAGAGTTGCTTAGATGAGGTGGGGGGGCACAGATCAAATAAATAATAATAGCAATCAGAATCATAACAATGGCAGTCGTGTGACTGAGGGAGGCTGCAAAGGTTGCAAACGATTAAAACAAACTTATTTTTTCAGCATTGTCACTGAACGAGGCAGTTGGTAAGCGAGCTCTACCTGTATATCATCCTCTGATGGAAACTTCTGCCCGACGCTCACGCACCGGAGTCAAATATTTCAAACAAATCTATTAAATGAAACTCTAGCAGACGGATATATTTGGTCGCGATAGAAGAA